ATGTTAGTAAACAAACGAGGTGATGGCACGCATAGATAAGCATCAAGGCATCTCTATCTTTACTTCTTACTCTGAGGTAAATAATATACACATAACCTGCAAATGATATGTGCATGCAGTTCCTGATATTTCCATAACGTTTCGCTGCATAATGGACAAACCAACGTACATTTATGGCCACCCTCAGAAGATTTGTGTATATTTTTTAAGTGTCTGCTTAGATTGCATTGCTTACTAAATGTCGTTCCACATACTGACATACCGTACAAATGAATACCTGTGAATTAAAAATTAAACAACATGCTGGACAGCTGGGCGGAGCTAATTATTAGGTACAATCAACAATATTAATTTTTAGTACGTCTTCTTCAACTTATTCCGTGTTCTCGCTCATATTATCCTAGTTGTGAACAGCTGAACACCACACAGAAATTTTTTTGCCGTAGTCAGCAGGAACTGGTATTATAAACAAAACAAACGGTGGCGCGTTAAAGCAAATTCAAATTTTAGCGCGCTTGCGTTTGCGCAGTACAGGGAGTCAGTGTGGAACACATCTGCAAGTCGTATGTACCGCCCACTGTGGAAATGTCAAAGAAATAAACTACTCATGATTGTTGCTTAAAATATCATTACAATAACAAACACAAATATGCAAAAATTAACTCTTTTTGCTATTAGAATTATCACTAAATGCTTAAATACATGAGAATTGTGTGGTGGGCGGTGCTTACTGCGGGCTGAAGTACCTCACAAGCGGCAGCGCGTTTTATTGGTTGTTTGGAAGTGAGGCAACCGTTTAGTATACGGACCGTGGTTATGTATCAAATTTCATTTAAGTCCCTCCATAAATAGGAAAGTTGGCAATGCGCATGCGCAAATAGCTATTTATGTAACAAGTTGCAAATTGAGTATCTTTGGCGCACTAGACGTGTATTTGGCCAATGAGCGCAGCGCGTCAAGAAATTGATAAAATATGAATTATTATAATGGGAGAAGAACTTTATTTTAAGATTGAATACCCGCATGTACTATCGCGATACCTAATGCGTTGCTATGGATAAGCAGAGACTGTCACCTTTGTTTGAAGCATATGCAACCATGGTTTGAAGCATCCCCGTTTCGCGTCTTTTATGTATTTTTTGCGAATTTTCCAACGAGGTTGGGTGCGCTATTGCAGCCACTTTGTCCGTCCGTCTGTCCAAGGCCTTAACTACTCCTACAGTCTTCAAGATATTAAGTTCGTTCTTTTTGCACTCGGTAGGACTAGCACCTGACCCAGGGAAAATCTTGACAATTAAACTACGAATGCGCAAGCTGCGCAATGTCAACTTTCTTATTTATTAATATATTTTGTTGAAATTTTAACCAGATATTTCTGGTGAAGGCAAACATATCGCATATGCCCTCCTTCAAGTTTATTTCTAAATCAGCTTATCTGAAATCATTTTCTTACAACGCAGTTGTAATGTACAATGCCCTTTCACCCGAATTGAAACGCTTACCCATAAAATTATTTAAATATCGTATGACATCTTTAATGTTAGACGATTAACGCACAGAATACGGCCTTCTCAGAATAGAAACAGCAATGTTACAAATTTGTATGGTATTTTGGCGGACCCTGGTGGGTGTACTGTGAACTAAAGCATCAAAATCAGAGCAGCGCCATCTGGTGACCAGCCATGAAGTAATTTCCCCAATTCGATCCAATTCATAAATATCAGAGAACTTAAATTACATGTTTACAAATTACATATAAAACTCAGAAGTGAGTGGAACTTACGCTTTGTAGATGTTAACACTATGCAGAAAGATCCTTACATAACGATTTGTCGTACGAAATATTTGGTTTTAATTGCTGTTTGGACTACATATTTTTGTTAAAAAATATCTTTAGAACTAAATTTTTTGTTCCAAGAGGTAATAAAACTATTATGTTCTCAATTTAAATTAGAATTAAGTCGAAAAATCTAGCGCGCTGTTGCTAGGGAAAAAAAAAGGATTGTCAATTATTATTTTTTTAGTTAGTTACGCATCGTTTTTCAATTAGGATATTAAATTCGATATTAATAATTTCTGTACTTCTGCGTTATGCTTAATTAAAGTTTACTAAACTAAAGACATGTGAATTTAACTAATAGTGTGCCACCTCAAAATACTTACACAACAAAAACCGTTTCAGCAAATTGTCACACAAGTTTTTGACAACAAATGTTAACTTGATCCTGGTGCTTACTTGTTACTTGAGAAGCGAGGGTGGAAGTTGTTGAATTATCTAAAACGTATTTTTTATTCATTATCTAAAAGGAATTACAATATAAGTATCTACGTCTATATAAATATAAAACTTAAGTCTACACCCTGGTCTACCCCCTTTTGCGCCTATACCGTTGGTAATTTATAAATTCAATACCTTGCATAAATAGGAGAGAAATAACAGCACATTTCAACCCTCTTCGCGTTTCGAGCACAAAACAATCTGTTTCAAAATATGGGAAACGATGCCTTTTTGATATTTTATCGTTACAATCCGCCACACAACACTTTTTACGGTCACATAACTTGTTCCTATTTTAAATCTTTCAAAAGTCAAAATTGACATGTGTAAAACCATGTGTACGTATAAAATTGACGGTAATAGTAGATTACATACCGAGTTGGGAGGTGGTTCATTACCTACCCCGAGGGCTTAAGGTATAAGCGCGAGGCGTTGGTTATGAACCACTGACCAGCGAGGTTTGTATACTATTTTCCTGTAACGAGCAAAATTACAGGTTTTGCAAAAAAATATTTGAGTCTGCGATAAATAGTTCTCCGTACAACCACGGGAAACGCTGTAAGTCTTATTCTGTGGATTAACGTGCACAAAGCAAATATGGCAATCACAGTAGGCATCATGTCTATAGAGTATAGGGTAACATTATTTTTATATATATTTACATTCTGTCAGTTATGGGTTCTTTCGCAGCAATTTTGAGGTTAAGTGGTAGATCGGAGAAGAGCAGTCCTTCAGTATTGCTCTTCAACCGAACTTCGCCTTTGGGGTTGCAGTCTATTGCATACAATCTGCATCTTTAAATTGTATAAATATGTATGTACTACCTAATCGTATTTGTGAACTGCTGCATCACCCAATAAAGCTATATTATTATTATTATATAGTAAAAATCACATGTGCGCATGCGCAGAGTGCGCAGTGGCAACTTTCTTATTTATGGAGATATTTCTTTGAAATTTTAACCAAAGTTGCTTTTAGTGTAAGCAAACGTATCGCATATTGTAAACATCATTAGATTAATGTGCGCATGCGCAGGCTGCGCAATGTCAACTTTCTTATTTATGGAGACATTTCTTTGAAATTTTAACCATTATATGCCTCTAGTAAAGAAAATCACACCGCACATAGCTATGGCCTTTTGGGAAGTACTGATCATTCATGGAAAATGCGCTGAATTTACTCGCCTTAGGGCGAAATCCTTTTTACTTGTTTATTATACCTGCAGTATAATTTAAAAATAGGAAATACAATGAAATAATATTGCAGGGCCTCCCGGGGGGGGGGGGGACTGGGGCGATTTGCCCCAGGCCCCCGGTTTCAAAGGGCCCCCGTGTTGGCCGTGGATCTGTGAGGATGAATGAAACAGCAATAGAGTTGCCGTTGCCACATTTTCATTTGTACGGACGATGATTTCTTGCGAAGAATAGAAAATGACAACATGTGGCTGTTCCCGGTAAAATAATGCGGTAAATCACTTGTCCGCATAATAAACAAGTAGAAATTGTGCACAACTCTTGTGCAGATAAAGCGCATTTTTTAAACCGCATCGAAATATTTCTCCCAGATGTACTAATTCGACAATCCGCTCTTGAGCGATGACCCCTGCATTCCCCCGTCTCATACCTTCCTTGAGAAGAAGTTGCGGAGGGAAGTTATTGTTTGTAGTTTATAACCAATTGTAGGTTGTAGAACATAACATATGCCAGTAAATTTCTAAAATAACATTTTCTTTGAAATTTTTTCTATTCCAAAACATCAGGGCTCCAAAATTTACTTTGTCCCAGGCCCCTGAAATTGTCTGGGCGGCCCTGTAATATTGACGTTAATACTCGAATACATGTCTAATTAAGTGGGCTGGGTGTTCGTAATTTCACGATTGCCATGGAAATGTCACTTCACATTTACTTATAAAAATCATCGTCTTTGTGAATAAAACGATTTCCGTTGAAAAAGATAATACACCGTCCATTAAATCGATTGTTGTAAAATCTAAACAAACGTTGGTAGGTGTAAAATCCAAATCCAGTAAAGTCTATATTATAAACAATATGAAAAGTTGTTTCCATGGATAGTAGAATAATGGATAGACGAATAAAGTCTTAAAATGCATCGATAATGATGGCATATATGAAGGAAATGTCAAAGGTATTTAAATCTTCTATCTTTTGGTGCATTCATTCAAAACTTCAAACAATGCTGCGATTAAAAAGTGAAACCGATTTGGAAGCATACCCTAAATTACGCGCGTTTGTGAAAGTTTCAACCAAAGGAGGCAAACCCGAACAGGAGAGCAGTAAGGTCACAAAGTTTCTAACGTGTGCTGCAAAATTTCAATTTGAAATTGTCTGAGCCAGAACAGTACAAGACCATATTGCCGTGGACGAAAGATTGCCAAAACCGTGGGATATAATCCTGACTAGACAGATAATGTGAATCGACCTTAAGTTGTTTATTAGGTAAGTAGCTACATAATTCACAATAAAGTTTAATTTGTACTTGTGGTTCCATAGTTTCTGTAAAGAGAAGGCTGTGAGTATTGGGTGACTCCAATGAAGTGATAGAAAGCCCTACTTTCAGTCTCTCGAGAAGCTTCCCCGTTTCTAAATCAAAGGTTCTTCCAAAGAAGAAGGTGCTTATTATATTACTAATGTATACATTGTATGCAAAAAACTTTATTTGATTTTTAAGAAAAGTTATTGGGTTTCAAGAACAATAAATTTGATAAATATGTAAACTTTTTATTGCTTACTAATATGTTAAACATTAAATAATAATAAACTACACAATAATAAAAAAGTGCACCTTAGTTATAGTGAATTGGCCTTAAGAAATACAGACTGTAATAATTGACCGCAACGTGACTTGAGTAACTGTAAATCGGCTTTTATTCGATTATATCCCACGGTTTTGGTAATCTTTCTCTTGTCTATGGCAATGTCGTCTTGTACTGCTCCGGCTCAGACAACTTCAAACCGAAATCTTGTAGCACGTTAGAAACTTTGTGATCTTACTGCCGTTGCATTCGGGTTTGCAATGGCACGACCACTTGCAAGGCATCTTTGTACGAAGAACTGAAACCTACAAGTAGCAAACATAAATTTAATGCAGGGACGTTCACGTACGTGAACGACTTGGTGCATGGTCTTATACAGCCTAATTTTGATGGCCCATTCCTTCTTGCTCTCGGTGAGTGTTGGTCCGTTGATGTGGTGCACTAACAATGCAGTTACGTGACGGCCTGTTTGTGTCGGTTGTTATATACGATCGGACTGTCTTATTGGAGGCGGTAGGAAACCAAATTTGTGTACTTATGCCAGTAGGATCGTCCCAGTTTTATCACCGTAGTAGCCGTCCCGTTTATGAGTGATTCGTAGGTATTTGAAATGTCTTGGGTTACGATTTGTGAACATGGGCATTGATTATATAAGTATATAATCAATGACATGGGGCTTATACTGCCCTTTTCGGATTTTCTACTGCTGCAGCAAAACATGGCGCTTGGTATAACAACCTCAAAAGTCTGCGAGTTTAAATGTACCTACATTACGATGTACGAATATGTTTATTCATAATAGCCTGTGATGACAATGGATGAAAACAATAACCTAACCTACATCTTAATTAATAATAACATTAAAACTTTGAAGTTTCTTTCGCATGCGCAGATTGTACGGAGATTTAGGACTTTTATCAAAGAGTAACCATAATAAGAGATTCAACGGCATAGCCATAGAGAATAGTGTTGCATATGTATTGTGTGTTGCCTAACAAATTTTACTGCTTTTTCTCAATTTTATTGGTGTACGCGGGATGTACGCTACGCCTAAAGGGGCTATTTCAAGGCAACTACTTGTTTTTGTTTACTTGTTTA